AGAGGTGAAGCCAATTTTAAAGACAATTCATGATAAAAATAAAATAAATAAATAAACCCTTTTATTTGTAACTAGGAATTTAGGATACTTATGTTACGACACTAATCTAATTTAATCAATCGTCTTATACATATGCCAAATTATCTGACAAGAAATGCTATTATTATGTATCATGAGACCCTAAATGATATGTTACTTTATACTTTCCCCACGATTTTCTGAGTCCCTTCTTTGAGAAAAATCGACAACAGGCTGGCAATGTGAGACCGCCATCACAGCATTTTCCCACGGTTTCCGAATTTTTTCTTTCTTTTGAGGTCGGCTTATGTTTGACACGTATTTAGCTCATTCAAGATTGGTTAGTAAAAGAAATCAATTGAGCTGGAACATAAAAATTAGAGAGTTTTAACGAAAAGCTCACAATACTGTTCATTTTAATAAAAAAATATACTTTTACACTAAAAAGTCAATCATGGTACTATTTGACACACCCCAACCGAGATCAGGGTATGCTGGCCGTCACGTGGAAATGACGTAGCCATGTGCACAGTGCGGAAGCTAAAAACAGTAATATAAAAGTACGAATAATTTAAAACTAGCAAATATAATGTGATAAAGTATGTGCTAGCGAAAGTAAGACGCTGAATTCAGAGCTTTAAGCCTACATCAGTCCAAAAGAAACGATACACAATAGTGCACCCGAAGGTGACCCTACGTAGGTGAGTGTCTGTCAAAATGCCGGGACGTCCTCCGGGAAAACCACCAAACCCGCTAAGCTACTAGAACCTGGAGGGGCGCAAAACAAAAGCGTGAGTGGGCAAAAACCAAATCTTTGAAAATCATTTCATAAAATACATTCTAACCCCTCGCCGTAAAACCTGTATACTTCCCAGAAAATAAACACATATACGTAGATATGCCAAGACATGCTCAAAGGTATGCCAATCATGCTCACAGGTATGCCATCACAACCCTCATAATATCATGCATGTGCTCAGGTATAAATCACATCAATAGCATAATAAACTGGCAGCCGGAGTCCCCTAAGTGACCTGTACGGCTGAATCTAGAGCTCAAATCTCAAACTTAATCACTAAACCTGCCCACGAGTCGGAACCACCTATAGTGGTCTGTACGACAGGCCTGGGTGTAATACATATGAACGCTCTAGTGCTACGATCACGTGAAGGCTGTGCGAATAATCGCGGGTCACCTACGAGTCGGAACCACCTATAGTGGTCTGTACGACAAGACTGTGCACCTAACTTGAATCCAAGCTGAGCGTGTGGTGCGGGAGGTGAACAACACGTGAAGGACTGTGCCCTACTCTGGGCGGGAGCACTAACACCGGGGGTGCAGGTTATGAGCTCTCTAAGCATCTCTAACCACTATTTAATGCAATCGTTAAATAACGCTTACCTGGCACTTACCTATGCCTCCACAGCACTAACATATATATATGACATATGCATAGTCGAATATGTAATTAAACGTATATGCCACTAATCATGCATAACCACTAATTACATAAAAGGAATGGCATATAACGAAGCATTCATACTAAATTCTGGGAAACAATATGTATATAGGTATATACGGAAAACAAAAGCCCACTCACTGGTATGTGGAAGGGTCGTAGCCCCCCTGCCTCGAGTGTGCACGCTCGTCCTCGGGATACGTGTCACCTATATGCGAATTAACTATAAAAACGTTAACTTTAAAGCACATAACCGTCCGTTCAAAATAACTTCTCATACATTGCTCAAAATGGACAAATGAATATACCAACGTGATCTACACAACCTCACGATCACACCCATAATTTTAAAATAATTTTTGGACCTTCCACGCGCCCTCACGCGCTAAACCAGGCACGGACCCACGCGCCCCCACGCGCGGCCACGTGCCAGGCACACTGACGGCGTCAAGTGACGCCGTCAGGAATATTCCGTTGAACTGACGGAATATTCCGTTAAACCTAAACTGACGCCGTCAACATCCGTTAGGAATATTCCGTTAAACTCAACGGAATATTCCCCTTTCTTCTCCGGCCAATCCCCCTTGCCGGCGCTGTCGCCGGAAAACCTGCAACTCGCCATAACTCGCTCGTTTTTCCACCTTTTTTCACGTTTCTTGCACCAAAATCAACCTTAGAGCTAGTAGAACACGATCCTACAAGTTTTAAGGCCTAAAACTACAAGATTATACCTGTCCAAAACTCCAAAACTCGGCCAACTTCGAACCAAGCTTTCCCGACGTCCAAAATTGTCCAACGAAGCACTCCCAAGCTCCTGGGAACCTCACAAACACAACTACAAGCTTCAAAAGTCCAAAAAACAAGCTAGAATAAGTTTGCATGAATAGTGCTCAAATCGGAAAACCTCGAATCGACGTGAAAATGGTGGTTTCCCTACCTGAAAATGGTACCACAGTGCTCCTCACAGCCTCACGAGCTCGATGGTGTCCTTGGTTCCTTCGATCTGTCCAGGTTTGAAGGGTTGTGTGAGTGTCCGTACGTTTTTGTTTGAAGAAGAAGAGGAATAGAGGACTCGGGGGAGAGAGAGAGAGAGAGAGAGAGAGAGAAAGAGACAGAGGGTGAGGGAGAGTGAGACAGTGTGGGTGTGTGGCCCAACACATGTCCACACCACACAAAACATCCAAAAACAAACCAGGGGTAAAATGGTAATTTCACACGTACGTTTCCGATAATTCCGGGACGGGATGTCACACTATTCACTTTACCCTTTATTTTATCCTTATTATTAAAACTCAAAATTTTCAAACTATTTTCATTAGTTTTTCTTAAAAATTATGTACTTAACTTGTAAAGCTAGCGAACAACTCATATTTTTTATGAGATAATTGAAGTTTGGTTGTCTCATTCGTTTAAGCTTTGACGTATAAAGGTTAATAACATTTAATCTTTAAAATAATATGAAATGAAAATTAAAGTCCAACTTTTTTTTTTTGAACAAAAAAAAAAATAAAATCCAACTATTAAATAGTTTTTCAAAATATTTATTTTATGTTCATAAGGTTTTCTTCTTCTTTTTTGTAAAATATGAGTCCTTAGTCTAATAATATGAAAAAAATCCTATCTTATATTATGGTTACACATACATATCATTAGTTTTGTACCTATCAAATAAAGAGTTACATAACATACTATAATTAGTTTTTTATAATGTACTAAAATACTAATACATACGCAAATTAGAGTACATGATGTACTAATAATGTACCAAATTATTAGCAAGTTATGCATTTATCGTATCTCATAATTATATGTTAATAGGATGTTTGCTATGATTTTAGAAATTGTAAATGACTTCTATTTGAGAAAAAAAAAATGAAAAATTGAAATGAATTATAATAAGATAATACATATGTACTAAATTTTAGGATTTTTGTGATATTAATTTGCGTAATCATATACTGCTTGGTGTATCACGCCGTATCCTTGACGCATTAAAAAGTGCTATTAAAATCCATAATGAGATTAAGGTAAGCACAGCCCCAAGTGAGGATGGAAATGAACGAGCTCCACGAGGGACACAGGCAGTTGGACAATTCTACCCTCATGTGATAGACCCTTCCAAAACACCACCTGTCAAACCCTGATGTTTCGCGTTAAGCCACTGATAATCCATGAGGGCAGCTGGCTGCCCCAAAAAACTCACCCACTACACACGATTTTTTATAAGGGGTGGTGCTTTGCACATCTTGTGCAACTTTTCTCACACTTAATTTTTAATTGTGTGATTAAATGAATTGAAGATCATTAAAAGATAAAAATTAATATAAATGTGTGAAACGTAAATTAGAGTTTGTGGATAGCACCATAATTTTCAAGCTCACACCCCTATATTGGGCAAAAAACAACCTGCTATTTTTCTTATGGTTTTGGCTTGGTCTATAATTATGATTGTACTAACGTCAAACAAAACACCATCGATACGGTGAAAAAAACGTGCAAGTTATGTATAAGGGTAAAATGGTCATTTTATTGTACTTAAAGGACCGATAGGCCTACTAAAGGGATACCCTTCTTTGGTCTTTTTGTTGGAACGACCTTTTTTAGCTAATAGGGATTCGCATTTGGGGTAATGAGTTTGTCACAAAACGATGCTCTAGGCCAATTAAGAAAATGGTAAACACACAACTTTTTCTCATACGTTTGTGTTTAGCTATGAACGTTATTTTCGTTTTATTTATTTAATTCGATAAAAAAAAGAGTGTAAGAGATGCTAAAAGGAGTGTCAAAATTATCTCCCTTCAATTAATACTTTTAAAAAGCAGGTGCGGGTTTGATCAGTTAAGCAAAGTAGTGTGTCAATCTCCTTGTACCTAAATTCAAATCCTCCACATCGTACATTTATTTTTTTTGAACAAATGATATTATCTTTACTAAGAGGAGGGAGTGGGCTAAGCTTCACAATATGTTAGCAATATTGCGGTTCAAATTCGTCTTTGGCAAAAATCAAACCTAAGACCTCTCACTTACAAGTGAAGAAGAATACCACTAGATCGTAGTATTAAGTGACTCTACAATGCATATTAAAGTAGGTAAATTAGCACTATCAAATTAATATATTTAAATATAAACAAACGTGAATTAGACTAGATAATTAGCATAATACATCTGTCAATTTGTATTTATGTTTTGATCTTTCTCAATGTGTATATATAATATATGAGTAAATTTTCTTTTGTAATAAGGATAATGGATTAAAAAATCTTTGAAAAGACCTAAAACACACATATTTTTAATCATGATCATTATTTTCGTTTATTCCTGTAATTCGATAAAGAGGAGCATTCAACTATTACATTTAAGAAAACATGTGAGGATTTGATCAGTTAAGCGAAGTCATGTGTTTGTCTCCTTACATCTAAATTCGAATCCTCCACAATGTATATTAAAGTAGGAAAATTAACATTATTAAATTAATACACACACGCACACACACACACATATATATATATATATATCTAAATATAAACAAACGTGAGTTTGATCAAATAATCATGATAATACGTTTGTCTCTTTATATTCAAGTTCAAATCTTTTTCAATGTATATGCGAATAAATTTGTTCTTGTAACAAGGATAATGGATTCAAATCTTTGATAGGACTTAAAAGATATGAGATAGATTTTCTTGACCAAAATGACAAAATGCATATTGGATTTTTTGATCTTGAAAAGGTGGGAAGGGAAACCAAAAACCATAATGGATGAAATTGATTATTTCCAACAGTTCCCAACACGAGAATTATGAAGGGGAATAAAAATAAAAAAAAAAAAAAAAAAAGGGGACAAAAATAGTAGTTGGTAGAGAAACAAGAAATAAGAAATAATTGTAAAAAATAGTAGAAATTGTAATTGATGATGGAGGAAATAAGAGAACGGAGGGGAGGGAAAGCCAATCCAAACCATCATTGCGAATCTTGGGACGGCCCTAGCTCCCCCATCATTTTACAAAAACCTAGCTACCCATAATTGTCCCTCTCCTCTTCTTCCATATCCACTTTTATGACCAAAATACCTCTAGTATGCCCTTTATTTTGTTTTTCTTTTTTTCCCAAGTATTTTTTTTATAAGTTTATTTATTTCTTTTGCTGCAAAACCCAAAAAACCATCATTCACATGACGCCATATTCATCATCATCATCATAGAAGACAAAAAACGCTAAAATCTTTTAGGCCCCAAACCGGCCGCCTTCCATGCTTACACATGCATGATTGTGGTGTCAGATCGAGACGGGCATGTCCCCTTGACAACCCTCCCTCTCTCTCTCTCTCTCTCTCTCTCTCTCTCACATATGGTTGCTTTGTTTCTCTGTGTAGGAGGACTCGTAGTAGTGGCATTGGCACTATAAATTAAGGCCCTCTTTGTTCCTTTTGTCCCTCACACCGAACTCTTCCTTTTTCTCTCTCACTGCTACTACTTGTTACAGAACCAGAAGATTTGCTTCTCCGGCCCCAAAGCTCTCTTACCAACCCAACCTTCTAAAGGTCACTTCTTTACTCATCTTACTTAAACAAATATAACACACACACCCCTCTATCTTTCGATGCTTCTTTTTTCCTGCTTACTATTTTCATGTTCTTTGTAGTTCACATTGTTTTTGGTTTAGTGTTCTTCTTTTCCTGCCTTTAGAAACGTTCCTCAACCCCCCCCCCCCCCCCCCAAAAAAAAAGAAAAAAAAGAACTTAACAATTTTTGTTCTTATTTTTAAAATCTTTTGATCGTTCTTACCAACTTCTTGAATGTGGAAAAGGGTAAGATTTGTATTTGTGAATGCTCTTATGATCAAACCAGGAAGTTGAAGTTTTTGCAGTTTGAATACATAACTTTTGATCCTTTCCTTTCATGTGTGGGAAGCCGAAAGAGCCCATTGTTTTTTTTCCTTGAGTGCAGTTTTAGACTACTTATGATTCCATCTCTCTTTTCCTTTACAAGCAAAACAACCCACCAATATATATATATATATACACACGCACACATACATACATAATTAATCCGACCATAGTGCTCCAAAATTTGTTAAGTTGCTCTGCTTTTCCCTGTTTTCATCACCTTCTTTTTGGACAACTGCCATAAGTGCTTCCAACAAAAGCACTGCACAAACCAAAGTTATTTCCAACAAATTCTAATCTGTTTCTGGGTAACATTTCTTTGATCCAATATGTCTCCCATTAATTTCATATTGGATTTTCTTTTTCTTTTTATTTTTTTATTTTTTTTTATTTTTATACCTTCTCTTTTTTGCATTTTTTTTATAGTATAATGTTATTGTCTTCATGTGAAACACATATAAAATGTTTATGCTAATAAATAACATTATCTGAGATACCCTTTTTATATTTTTTTGGTTCTGATTTCAGGGGCAACACAGGAATTGAAGACAATTTTCACAGCAATGGACAGATTGAACTCGAAGCTGTACTTGCAGAACTGCTACATAATGAAAGAGAATGAGAGGCTGAGGAAGAAAGCACAGCTGCTGAACCAGGAGAATCAAGCATTGCTTTCCGAGCTTAAGCAGAAGCTGTCCAAAAGTGCTTCTTCAAAAGCAAAAGCCAATGCAGCTGCAGCTGCTGGGAATACCATTCCTGACCTCAATCTCAGCTCTTCCTCCAACCCAAATGGTACTGGTTCAACCAACTAATTATCAGATAAAATTAATTAAAATTAAGTAAAAATGTGATGACCCCAGTAGGAGGAAGAGGAGGATTTAGCCTTTTTTTTGTGTAATATTATTAGTCGACAGTTGTAGTCCCAGTTTTAGATACAAAATAGGACAAGATGAAGTTGTGTATCTTTTGCACTACCAAAGAAAGCTTCTGCTTCTTCTATTTCCGTATCTATTTTTGGGGGTTTATTAAAAATTTCTGCACTACAAGGATGTATCAAGCTATCTAGCAAGCAATATAAATATTATTTTAGCTTTATTCCTCTCTCTCTCTCTCTCTCTCTCTCTCTCTCTCTCTCTCTCTAAATATCCAAATTAGAACTATTGTCTTGCACCAATTCATACACGCATGTTCATTCAAGAAGATGAACTTACATGAAATGGGATGTCACAACGGTACATGAATCCCACTATCCAAAAAAGTTAAAGAAAATGATGATAAATATCTCTCACCCTTTTAAAGAAGCATTTGAAATGGTAGACATGGTTGGATTTGGCAAATAGTAAATTCCGCAATAAGTTGTGTGATACAGTAAATCACATGGCAGAGTGATCCAAATGTGTACAAAGCCAAAAGCTTAACTGGCTAACTGGTTTGTACCAAAGACTATAAATTAGACAGCCAAAAAATTAATAGAGAATTCGTTGCGTTATCGAAAATATATTCACTTGTGTTTGCATCATGTAATAATAATATAAGGTGTAAAAAGATGTATTCTGATTGAAGGACATATTCTTTTTAGAGAAAGTAAGCAACATGAAACACATGTAATGGTACAACTTAAATCTCACACCACGTACTTAGGAGCAACTAAAATTGGAGAATAGCTTATATAGACGGTGAACATATGGGTAAGGTGATAGTTTTCTAAACCAATCATGTGACGTTATATGTAAAGGTTAAAACATATAGCGGCGCATGACAGGTTTGAAACTTTGCCTTATTTCCGTTACCATTTCATGTATCTCTTTCAATTAAAATATATAAATTATTTTGTCGCGTAAATGATTCATATTAAATACGGTTTGAATCCGAGGACACATATTTTTGTGATTCCCATTCTATAACTTTTTCAAGGATCCAAACCATCTATATTTCAATTCATCATTTATTGATCATCCTTGAGAAAAATTTGGCAAATCCACAACTACTAAGACATTCCTTTGTAGCGAAGAAAATGACGAATACAGTTCTACGAAAAACAATAAATTTAAGCCAACGGTCATATGGTTCTGGATTTGTATAATTTTTAGTAGACATGATCTTTTAAACAAGATATAAAAGATAGATGATTAGATCGTTAAAATACATTACGGAGTGAGCCTTTCTTGCTACTGTAGGAAGATTGGTTTACATGTTCACCATTTACACTCCTTATTCTTTTTATAGTCATTACATTGAATAAATCAGAGATTTATCAATAGATAGAAATGAGTCAATAATTGAAGAATTGCAGGATAACGAAATGAAGTACGAAGATTACTCCCCGTTAAAAAATAAAATAAAATAAATAAATAAATAAAAGGCTAACTACATTATATACCCTCTAAGTTGGAAGTGATTTTCAACATGGGTTATGAGGTTTCAATTTTTTCATATTGCACTTTAAGCTTTTGAAATTGTACCAAGTTAAACATTATGTCTCTTTGAACGTCCAATTCATATAAGCATGTCCATTCAAGAAGGTAAACTTAAATGAAATGGAACCTTACACCGACACATGAATCCCACTATCTGAAAAAGTTAAAGAAAATGATGATAAATATCTCTCACCCTTTTAAAGAAGCATCTGAAATGGTAGACATAGTTGGATTTGGCAAATAGTAAACTCCACAGTAAGTTGTCTGATATAGTAAATCACATGGCAAAGTGATCGAAATGTGTATAAGGCCAAAAGCTTAACTGGTTAACTGGTTTGTACCGGAGACTATAATTTAAACAGCAAAAACGAAAAAAGAGAAATTCGTTGTGCCATCGGAAATATATTCACTTGTATTTACATCATGTATTGATAATATAAGGTGTAAAGAAATGTATTATGATTGAAGGACAGATTCTCTCTAGAGAAAGTAAGCAACATGAAACACACGTACGTAACGGTATAACTAAATCTCACATCACGTACTAAGAAGCAACTAAAATTGGAGAATAACTTACATAGACGCAAACAAATAGGTAAGGTGATAATTTTCTAAAACAATCATGTGATTTTATATGTAAAAGTTAAACCATATAGCGACGCATAATAGGTTTGAAACTTTGTCATATTTCCGTTACCATTCCATGTATGTCCTCTATTAAAATAAAATACAGTATTGTTTCACAAATGATTCATATGAATTTGGAGACACACGTTTTTGTGGCTTGCATTTCGTAACTTTTTTCAAGGATCCGAAGCGTCTATTTTTTAATTCATCATTTATAGATCATCCTTGCAAAAAATTAGACAAATCCAAAACTATAAGACATTCATTTGTAGTGCAAAGAAACACTAAATCTAATCCAACAGTCATATGGTTTCAAATTTGCATGATTTTTTTGTAGACATATATGATTTTTGAATTAAAACATAAAAAATAGACAGTTGAATCACTTAAATACATTGCGGAATGAACATCACAAAAACTTGTGTCAAAATGTATGTGAAAATATGTGTTCCCGAATCTTAATCCTATTAAATAAGGGGATGTAATTTTTTTAGTAGAATAGAGGAGCTACACTCCAGCATTGAAACTAAACACCAGCACAAACTTAGGTCTAAAGACCCCACAATATCTTCTTAAACAAATCGTCCTACACTAGCAAGAAGGGGTAATTTCTGCACTCCATGTTCACCATCTGCACTCTATTATTCTTTTATAGTCATTGCATTGGATAGACCAAAGGTTTATCCACTCATCCTTTTTTTACTTCATACACTCTCTTAATTTACGGTCGTCGGATTGACTGAATTAAAGAAGATGAAATGACATAAATTAACAAGGTTTGTGTGAAAAGTAAAAAAGAATGTATGGATAGCACACTTGTAGATAGAATTGACGAAAGAACTCTAGGATAACAAAATGGAGTACGGTAATTACTCCCCATTAGAAAAAAAAAAATGGCTAATTACATTACACACCCTTTAGGTTGGAAGTAATTTTCAAAATGGGTAATGAGGTTCCAATTTGTTTAGATTGCGCCTTAAGGTTTTGAAACTGTATTAAGTTAAACATCATATCTCTTTGAACATCTAACCCTCCATCAAAATAATGATTTTTATGTGTGCAAATGTGGCTTACATGTTAGTCTAAATAAGGGTCTCAAATTCACTACGTGTCAATTGAATGAATTATCATACAACCAATCCAACCGAAAACACAATTTGATAAATTTAAATACCTTAAGATGTAATATAAAAAAAGATCAAAACTTCATAGTCCATTTTAAAAACCACTCCAAACTTAAACCGTATAAAATATAATTAGACATAAAAAAATCATAATTTAATTTGAAAAAGAGCCTTTTCATTCAGATTCTAAGACTGAGAACCGAGTTTGATAGGGGAGGATCTAATCAGAGGATCAACGTCATCAAAAGATTCAGTAAACAGAGTCAATGTGGGTTTATGAAGTTTGAAAAAAAAAGTGGTAACCCACAAAATATCAAATATGTAAGTCATGGACATGACATTAGTCTCTTGGCATATCGTTTTGGTTTGACCATCACACGCATATGAAATGAAATCTATCAGGAAATAAAGAACGTCTAATCAGAACTCGATTGTGTCTAACAAACCCTCCCTCCCTCCTAATCCTGTGCCTACTAATGAATGACACCTTACCACCCCCATCACCAACTCAGCAAAATCAATTTGGAGGTTGAAAATAGCACCAAGGCATCATGACTGAGATTTCGGTAACTTCTATGAAACGAGTTTAGTATTTATCGTGATATTTTAGTTTAATAATGTATTGTCATTTGTACGGTATTCTCTATATAATATTATACTATTAGACTAAAACACCACGTAAAAATGAATATGTTTCATATACGTTGCTCCTCCTTCCAAAACCAAGAACATGAAGACTTACTTAGACTTAGACTAAGTTGTTAATAAAAAATTTAGGCCTAGCATAGTCTACCACCTACATCATCGATATTGTCTCAATATAATCAATTATTACTAGATGTTGAGATTTATTATAAAAGACTTTAGTGATATTAGGGATTGAAAGTCCCATATATTAAGTGAATTTTTTTTTGTCATATGCCCGATATGAGATATTATTCTCAAACAACTGTTTACTTGAAGAACACCTTAGCTAAAAGGTGCTTCTAGTAAAAATCAATTTTATTAGAAGCACATCAAAATTTTAATAAAAATATAAGTTCTTCTTATAAAAACACTTGAAGTGCTTTTTAAAAGTATGTGCTTCTTCAATAAGAACGTTTAACTTTTTGTGCCAAACATTGTTAGAAATGCTTTAGTGATTTAAAACACTATAAGTTATTTTAAAAATAATTTCAAACAAGTCCAAAGTCATATATTTTAACTTTTATATATAACAATGCATGATTAATATGAGAAATGATCATGTAAACAAGTTTCACTTCCAAGAAAAGGTCCTTGCTAGTAGATAAAATTCAGACCTAAATCCTTTAAATATGACAAATTAAAGCAGAATAGGGATATAGGGTATTTGAATGAACCCTAACGTTTGAATGCGTTTTCTCTTTGCTATGATGCCATATTTGTCTAGCTATTATTTTCTTTGCATCAGCATTGACCTTCATTTGCAGGGTAGTATCCTTAAAGATTCTGGTCATCATAACAATATCCAAGACGTTTGAAATGTTGAAGAGGGTTATGTGGCCTAAACGATTAGACGCCTAAAGTACTTAACAGATTGATTTGATTCAACATTGTTAATTGAACATTCCCTTGATCTCAATCAGTGCCATGTCTCATTTCTTAGCTCGTTAAGGAGAAAACTCGGTTACACCGGTTTCATGTACCGATGTTGTATTCCTCGCACATTCGTCTTACACGTTTACTTGATGTGTAAGCCAAAGACAATCGGTGTATAAAACAGGAATGTGAGACAATCAGTGTATAAAACAGGAATGTGAGAATTCCTCTTCATTTAGAGCATTCACAAGGTTAGATACAAAAGTTTTCACATGATGTATAAGATAGACACAACCTGGATATAAAGCTAGGATCAAACTTAAGAGATTTTTTTTTTTTTTTTTTCTGCGCAACGAGAAGATATAAGCAAGATTCTATTTTAAACAAATTTAAACGGTGAGGGGCATTTCAACTGAATGTATAGGAAGGGGCACATTTTATAGCCAATGTGGTGACAACCACGTTTGCATGGGAATTACAATTTAGAGTAATGGATTTAGGATATTTTTTTTTTTTCATAAATTCGGGTTGGTGAACCAAATCTTGGACCGTAGAGATGATTGTGGGCATACATTTAGTTGATGGACCAGTCCAACCCAACTTGTTGAACCTATAAGTCGACCCAGAGCCAAATTTCAACCAAACAAGTTGAACAGGTTTTCTAGAGATTACTGATTACTTAAAGATCTATTCAAGGATTTGTTCAAAAAAAAAATCTATTCAAGGATAATATTTTGCATCGAATATGCTAGCGTCAGTCGCGAACGGATGACTAGCACAGCCATTGATGTTTAAAGGACCCAACTGTGGATCCCACACTCAGCGATGGCCGTGATAGCATCAACACCCAAAAGCGACTGGTGTTTGCACAACTCATACGAGCAGTTGATGCCAAATAATGCTACAAAAGGAATTAGAATCGACCAAACCTATTTATTCCGAAGATTTCACAAGCTTAGTTTCCGGAACAATATCCTTGCCAGCATCTGCAATTATCTGTTCTGTCGTTATACAAATCTGGGTACGTCATTGGAAAAAGTAACCACAGGAAACCCACAATTCCTGCTACAGATGCAACGGCTATTAACCCTGAGAAAATAACGAATATAAAGACGAGGTCCCAGAATTTAACTAACACAACATAGTAAAAAACACATCCCCATAAGGAGACAGCACGGCATTAGAATATTAGAGGCCTTTTAAGTGATACATTTTCACTCCGTACTGAAAGACGTTCTGGTTATTCATAAGAAGGAAAATATTTGGCTTAAGTTTGCTACTGTGTCAACAGAACAGACTCTATGTAGCATCCATGCCCGCCTTGTGTGTGATTTCAATGGGGCACCTAGGTTCATGTCATGTTCTACAGTGGTCAGGACTCCATGCCCCAAAATGGAGTTGTAACTTTCCTATTTCTTCTTTTCATCTGAATGGTTTGTTTTATTCTTGTTTCTTACAAATTGTTGGGTTTCTTCCCCATCTCCTTTTACACACATGATTTTCCACGGTGCTAAGTAAAAGATCAAACAATGGAAAGTTTGCTCTTCATTCTTTACGTGCAGTGCAGATACCCAAGTTTCATGAGTTAGTTTCATGATGGTAAAAGAAGAGAAACAATAGTACATATAGAATAACTAACACACTTGCACAAGTTTCTGAAGTACGATCAACATCTATGAAAAAGATAAATCACAAGTAGGTTATTTTCTAAAACTACATTCTATGATTTCTCAGTTATGCAGTTTTTATCTTTTTTGGTTGTTACATCCTCATTTGGTTGCTAGGAAACTGTACTCGCATACCTTTCCCTCGTGAAACTAGCACAGGCAATCCCATAAAGTTGCAAAATGCGTGAGCAACTAAAGGAGCAAGAAAATTTCCTGCATGGAATAAATACAACACATTTCAGCGACAAAGAAAATTATCTCACACAAAAAACAGGAAATGAAAAAGCTCCCCATAGTGCTGTAACACATATCAGCGACAATAACAATAATATCGGAAAACACCAACTATCACCTACCAGTTTGAATGAAGAGAAAAGATGCATATGAGCCAAAGACGACCGTATAGCCTAACTGGAGACCTGTCAAAGCACATTCAAATTAATTGAGCATCATGGTGACAACCGTACAATTTTACAGAAATGCCGTAAGTGAAAAATACCAGAGATTGAATGTACTGAAGTAGAAGGGGGAGGGGATTCCATAATGGAACTGCCTAGTGCTACCGATTCTCTAGGCTGAATCTCTGTGCCCTATCCATGCAAGGAGAGAAAGTTGAGCATACCTATAACCATGAAGGCTTTGATCAAGTTATGGTTTTGCTTGCTGTAGACCTCCATTAGATGGTTTAAATGTGCTGCAAAAATTAATCGTACACAGTAAGATCAAATTTTCTCCAAGTTCAGTCAACAAATGGGACAAACTTAAAAAAAAACTTTACTATTTTAAATGAAATGTCAGAGCAAGTACTCATGTAGGGCAGACAAAAAAGAATATTGGGCATACAAAGGAACATCGCGAAGGGATTTTTCTGCACTAACAAATTTGGAATTTCAGAGAGTAAAAGTAACCAGAAAACAAACTCTTTTGTAGTTTTACGTTGAGGGTCAATAGTCAACCATCAAGGGTTTCAGGAATTAATCCGGAGAATATAGTTATGGGTAAACTGTATTTAACACATACACAAGCATGAATTACCAGTAACCACAGATACAAACAGCGAGCATAATATTTTGCTCTTTCACAGCATCATAAACGTAGAGGTTGTCAGTCACCAAAGCCATCAACTATTAATACACAATCACCAGCTCTTAGTAAATAACCAGATTAATAACCTGATCAGGATAGACATCTGCTATGACATTTGTTTAACTTACCCAAACTGAAGAAAATGGGGCAGAGAAAGATGACTCTGGATTTTTGGAATCCTCCGCAGAGAAGTAATGGGATCATACATGCTCTGAACACCAACTCTTCGGTAATAGGAGCCTGTTTAAAAATACTGCCAATGAATTGACGCTACGAAAAATACTATTTTTTTTTTTTCCAACTGAAGCCAAGGAAAGAACATGTGGATAAAAGTAGGGCACTCTATAATCTTTATCTTCATCATGTGATAAATCCACTTACAAATCAGGAAATGTTAACATGAAATAGATTCGTTATAGGGTTTATATAACAAAAAATCAATTTAATTCAGCACCAAAGATACAAGTAAACTTACCACAATATAATTACGCCAAACCAAAACATTGGAAGCCATTGTACGAGTACAGGCAACAGCCTCTTGTGAGACATTCTTGATATATTCGAACGAAAAGCCTCCACCATAATTCATATCTTCCGTCAATGAACTCACTAGCATTAGCGCCTTAAGGACCAAGGATCCAGCGTACACGAGAGCAGTCAACAACAGAGGAAAGACCACAGCTTGCCACTGTTTCACACATAAAATCACGATTCAGCATGCAAATTTAGCAAGCATTCACACCGTTTCCCAATCTGCATACGATACATAGAGAAAAACGGCTGCTTCTTTTAGGAAATCTAGGAGGGTTTTACTAAAAATCAAAAGGGAACCCAACAATATAAAGATTGTATCTTAGCATAATAATACTCACAATATGGTCTGTTCGGATTCCGTATACACTTAACAGAGATGATACGTCCCTGCTTTTCATCTGACATTATTCAACAATGTTAACAAAGTGAGCTAAAAAATAACAAAAATTGCAATTGGTCAACATATAAGTGTATACAGTAACAGTTCTTCTGTGAACAGTAATGTCATCTATTTTATATCACAGTAAAAATGTCAAATTTCGAAAACCCAGTTTCCTAATATGCTAAATTTTCTACTACAAATAGCTTAGCTACAGAGCTGACATTGTTCAAAGCGATAATCAAAGATGCTGAAGATCTGTACTGGGTCAATCGAAACTGGGAAGTTAAAGCGGACTTACATGGAGGAGGAGGGCGGAGACGATGACGGAGACGACGGATGAAATGGCGGCGCATACGAACCGTCGGATCATGAAGTTCTTGAAGGAAGGAGGAGGAGGAAGACGGAGGATTACAGTCGGGGCGTAGAGAACGGCTACGTAGAATAGCGCCATGGCAGCGCAAGCCACCACCGCCACTGCTTTCGAGACGCCGCCGTCGTCCATTTTTCAGTTGAGAGACGGAGACTCCCGCTCACTGTTGTGGTCGTTGGTATTGAGTTTTTTTTTATGGGTTTTTCTGTCGACTTGGATTTTCGGAAGGACTAATTGGAATTTAATCCCTTCTTGTTTATGCTGCTTTCTCATCAAGCAAAAGCCTAAAAGGACTACTTTACCCCTTTCTTATGATATGAATCTTAATCAAGATTTTTCTCCGTAAACGCGAGTTAGGCCAGCTGATTAAGTTAGTGTGTCTCTTTTTTTTAAATTGTTGTTGGACAATAAGTAATCATATTTGATAAAAAAAATTGACATTAAAAATTTTTGATCTCGTAATGAAAGTGATTTACTGAAAGTGCTTCTAAGCGATAATACTTAAAAAAAAAATCATTTTCAGATGGAATGGTAGTTTGAAATTTAGTATCGAATTAACGACAAAACTTCATATATGTGTTAATTTCTTTCTAAGTCTCAAGCATCGATTGACACTACATTGTTAATAAGAACCTAATTAATATAGATAATTAATCATCTTTATTTGTGTATGATACATTCATAAGTTGGGCGTGACGTTAAATTTCGAAAATAATGTTTATGATAAGATTTTCTGCACTATGAAAGGAAAACTAGTGTTCTATTTTCGACTCAAGTACGACTAACGCCCTATAAAAAAATTGGAGTAATCAGAATTATGATGAAAAATGATTCGAACTTGAGTGTGTAGATAACACAGATATTAAAAGAAAACAAGAGGATGTAGTTAAAAATAAAAAATAAAAAAATTTACCTCAAGACTTAAAGAGCAAGGAAGTATCAGACAAATAACAGTAGGGGGCAAAAGTGTAACTTCAAGCGATTACCGCGCGACAAAGATCATCAGCTCAACACCAATTAAGCCGAACTTCACCGATAAAAAGTCAAAAAAGCCCTTACTCCCCCTCCCAAATACAACCGCACGCTGCGTTCAACTGATCTACCCACCTCGCTCGAAAGCTCCCACACACACTCATTCCTTTCCCACCCCAAATTCTGAAAACCCTAATCGATCTCGCCCCCAAATTCCCCAAATCTTCCGCCCGAGCTGTCCGATCTCGAAATGAAGAAGGAATTCGCCGTCCCCCCGGTGTTATTCCCCTCCGGCGGCAACCCTACCGCCGTCGGATCCAACAACATCCAGCAACGCCGCGTCGCCACGGCGCCGTTTCAGCCCCCGCGCTCCTCGACCTCTTCCATCCCCTTCATGTCCTTCGACGTTGGTTCCGCCGCCACCTCGTCCTCCTCCTCCTCCCTCTTCGGCGGCCCGATCGGATCCTCCTCCGTCCCCGGCGGCTCCGCCACCTTCGAGGACGAGGAGCCCCTCCTTGACGAGCTCGGCATCCACCCTGACCAAATCTGGAGTAAAACCAAGTCCATCCTCAACCCGTTCCGGTCCAACCCGGCGGTCCACAAGGACTCGGACCTCTCCGGGCCGATCCTCCTCTACATGTTACTCTGCCTATTCCAACTCCTCGCCGGAAAAATTCAGTTCGGCGTCATACTCGGGTGGATCGTCGTTTCATCAATTTTCCTCTACATCGTCTTTAACATGCTCGCCGGGCGTAACGGCAATCTCGACCTGCACAGATGTACGTCCGTAGTGGGGTATTGTATGCTGCCCGTGGTAATCTTATCAGCTGCCTCGCTCTTCGTCCCCCAAGGCGGCACCTTCAGGATCGCCGTGGCTGCCGTCTTCGTCTTGTGGGCTACTAGGGTTTGCACAGGGCTCATGGTTGCCCTTGCTGATGGCGGCGACGAGCATCGCGGCTTGATAGCGTATGCTTGTTTCTTGATTTACACTCTGTTTTCGCTTCTTGTGATATTTTAGTGGAATTGGCTGTGAAACAATTTGGGTATTGCAAATTTTTGGTGGTTGGTTGATAGTGCATGGGTTAAAACATCTTTGTAGCTGTGGATTTAGGTGAATGTGATGTTGTGAATTCGAAATCTTATGAATGTATGTTGGAATATGTAGAAAACGGAGATATCACAACGAAAGGAATTATCGTTTTTAGTCAGGATTACTTGGAAAAATGTTTTACCTCATGATTATCACTTGTTATAAATGGATTTTTCGTCCTGTATTGTCTCAATTATGTTGCATTGTTGCTATTGTTGTTTTGATTTTATTCTGCTATAAGTTCATGAATTAAGTGATTCCTTTTGCTTATGCACTCCCTGATTAGTTAAGCTAAGATGTATCGGTTGCTCTGTCATCTAGCCTCTTTGCAGCATAGGATGTGCTTGACTATATGTCGAAACAAACTAGGGATCTAAAAGGTTTGTGGTTGTGTACCATCTGAAGCGTGACGTGAGTTTGAGATGTAGTCAACTCAACAATGTGATGGTTGGCTATTTGCAAACTGGACGCACAAGGCCTTCTGCATCAAATGGTAAAAGAAAGCGCTGTGTTCTTGGTGCTTGGAAACAGTCATCTAAGGCTCATTTTAACTGGTGAAGTACAAAAGCCAAAGCTCCAAATGATTTTAAGTTTTTCTGATTTAGGCTAACAAAGTTGTAGCCCGTATGTTCTGGGTTCTTGCATGTACAAAACTTTATAGCTGAAACGTAAGAAAATTGAAACTTTCGATGAATTTGCAAGATGAGAAAAGAGAAAAAAATAGTTAATATAGTGACCATACTTTTAGAAGGAAATAGGGCACTGCTTATCCTATTTGAATCCCTTCTATAGTTTTAGCTTAAGATATGAACGTAATGAATTGTATACGTAGTGATGGAAAATGTGGCCTTGGTTTTATTTACTCAAATGTTTAGGCCTGGTTTGGTGTCTAGGTTTGGACTGGATTGGAATGGACAACCCACTATAGTGAAGGTATGTTGATCATTTCCCTCTACCTTCAATATAACTTGAATTGTTTCTGAATTATCCAATCCATTCCAATCGTAGCCACCAAACGAGCCTGTAGAGTTCAGGCTAATGCTTTAGATAACTATAGAAGTTATTATACTTATTAGGTGATTGGTATCCAAACTCCATGGAATGGTCTTGTCACATTGTTAGACTCTTGAGAGCTATTGCTTTTGGTTGTTAACTAAACTTAAAAGGATTAAAAGCAGTGTCCTAGGTGCGGAATATCTTGTGTTCTGTTGAGGTAGTTAGGTCTACTGCTCAAACTTTAGTGGTTTTGGTAGATATTGAATCAACAGTTCCTTATTGACACTGGATTTTTAGCTTTTCTTGATGCAAATCAGATTCCGTCTTTCTTGACTTGTAATACCATATTGCCCGTGATGAAATCGAACATTTTCTAATCACATGATGTTGCAGGTGATGTGTACATGTTTGTCGTGCGTTAGAATTTTGAAAATCATTTGTATTTGATGTGGTAGTGAGCGTCCTTTTCTATTTGTTTTGATTTTGGGAGGAATGTTTTAGGGTGATACTAATTGGAGCTATAATATGAATCTCCGGTACTAGTATTTTGAGAATCCACTTGAACTAGGACTAGCCTTGTTTGTATTAACTCTTTGAACTAGTTTCAGGGCGTTTACCTCTTTACCAAAATAAGAAAAAGAAAAATCATGTACAAGTATTTGAGAGTATATGTCAGGCATACGTGGGATTTGACTTTGGAAGACGTGGCTTTCAAAGACAAATCTCCACATTCTTTTAGTGTCGTTGTAAATTTGTTGTAGGGCGTTCTAATTCCCACCCGAACTCCAACCTCACCACCAAACACCAAATATGTGCACATATATAAGTACAAGAGCATATCTCGAAACTTAAACCACCACAACCATGGCTTCTCTCGTCGAAGGCCCCCCTTCCACACAATGTGCTGGACTGTGTAAAGGCCTAGCAGACATCGAAGACGAAGATGATCTCTTTGAGATCGATCTCGATTTGATTGACAGCGTTCCTCAAACACAGTACTACTGGAACAGGTATTTCACTGCGACCCGAAATGCACTGCTTGCCAATTGCCTACTGCCGGCCACCGACATCTCCCGTGCCATCCCCGTGGTTTCGAAGGCACTGTCGTCGTCGGAGCAGACTGGTAATGTTGTTATTGTCCCGCAAGCTGTGCCCTTGGGGCAGCTTCTAGGGTTGCCATTCCAGGAGGCATTTGGGCTTCACCTAAAGGAAGTGAAACAAATGTGCAATCCGATTAGGAAAAATGTTCCATCATTTGGACGTTGGGTCTGAACCATTATAAGGAAGTTATCATATTGTTTATCGGGGATAAGTGTCTTTTTTTCTTTTTTTTCTTTTTTTTGGTTAACATCGGGGATAAGTGTTTGTCTCCCAAAATGTTCACTTATAATTACTTTTTTAATTTCTTTAATTTGTTGCTAACTTTTTAGTTTCTTTAATTCGTTGAATACTTTTTTTTTTTTTTTTGGTAAACTAATTTGTTGAATACTTATGCTACAAAAAAATGATCTAGAAATCGGGTTAACTATAGCAATCGTCCTTGAATTTTATCCCTTATTTAATTTTAGTGTCTGAACTCTCATATTAGTTTCTTTAGTTCTCAAAATTGTCTCATTGTTCTTTTTCACTAGCGCTGTTTATTTTTTTGTTAAATCTAGGGGTATATAAGGAGCTTCATCCCAAATCACCAAAAATAAATTTTAAAAATGAATTATAAGAAAGAAAAGAAAAACTATAAAAAAAAAAAAATCAGTTTTTATGTTGGTGAGAAAATTGAATATACCCCTAGATTTAAGGTTTTACTAGGCTTTCTGCACATGCACACATGCATGCGAGAGGCATTTTTGCATCACGGGCGCTACGCGCCCCAAATATGTGTTGTTTTAGATATTCTTATATTTCTTAAGTGATTATTTTATAAATTGTGGGTGTGTGTCCATCACAACAATTTCTTATTATTTTCAATCATCTAATTTAGTCTTTTTGCACCTGCCCATTGTACAGAAAAAAATGAAATTTATGAATTGCACACTAACCATTCCACATTTTTTTTGCTTGCTGATTATTATGGTGTCATTTTTTTTGTTTGGCTGATAGAATTTCGTTTCACGAACTGAACTATGCCTGGTCATTATTATCACTTTGGTAATTACTGATTAACAAAAAAAATTAAGTTAATCAGAGTAGTTGGAATTCTCATATATCCATCAGTATCGTTTTACCCCAATATATTGTACAAGAAGGAAACCAAGAGTTAGGTTCCTTAAAATCAAGAGTTGGGTTCCTTAGTCAATAAGGGATTAAAAATGGTGGATTTCATTTTTGTTTACTATGATAATGGTGTTATCGTTACCTATTGATAAAATTCCAAATAGACGTGTCTCTATTTTTCCTCATAGTTGGGAGATATCTGTCGGAGTAAAAATTACTGATCTAAGCCAACTGATTCTTAAAGAGTAGAAAAAGAAGAAGCATGAGCAGTATGTATTCTAAATTCTTTATTAAATTTGTTACAAGAAATTCTAACATTATATATACCTTCAATATATAGGTGGCGCATGAAAAAGGCTACAGAAAAATTAAAACCTTCAACAACTCCTCACATCATACGTATTTGGAATAAAGTCCAACAAATTAGGTACAACACCATTTCTTACCTATTTATTTTTAATGGCATTCTCTATATCATTCTACAAATTAATTATCTCAAATTATAAAAAAGACAATTTATGGGTGCAGGAAAAAGATTAATAGTGACCAAACAACTTTTCTAAATACGGTAAGTCTTCTCTTATTTTTATACGGAAGTATACTATAAATTCAAATTGCATTTAATTTTCAAATAGAATAAAATTGCAATTTTTGTCAATTTTACAAGCATCACACCGGTCTCAAAGTACAAAGGTTGAAGTACAAGATTAAGGTGACATTTGTTACTATTTAATTTGAGAATTGTTACTGGCACTCCAAAAATCTCATTCTATACTCCAAACTTTCTATATTTGGAAAGAAAAATACACTTGTGAGGAGTGTAGAATGAGATTTTTGGAATGCCAATTAAAATTCCCTTTAATTTTGTAAACATGATTGCAATTTGTTACCTCAATCTTGACAAATTATTTATTTTTCAGTATTCTAAAAGTAACTGGAGTAAAAGTATTGCCATGAGAAAATTGTCAAAGTTAAAGGTATTTAGGTTAAATTGCTTACAACCTTTTATATTTGGGATTGTGCATTATAGTTAGACTTCTTATGTTATCATCATTGCTTGCAGATTAACCATGAAAATCTAAAGCATCAAGTGCAAGCAAATGGGTGGCAAGCATGGCTTTGATTTCACACGTAAACGCTATGTTTACATATGTACATGTTGTCCATATTTTGATTTGCTTCATATATTAGGAGTTCATCCCTACTAGCCTAAAACTTTGACTGAAAACTTATGAATCTGAAAATTTTGATTTAAGGGCATTAAATGTTATCAACATGTATTTAGGAATGAAATTACATGTCGTATTTTCATATTTTTTTAATAGTTTATGTTTTCCCATTTTATCTTCATTGTTGTTTTAAAGGAAAAATAGTAAAATTGTATGAGAGATTACTCACATATGTGCAAATTGGATGAAATATATGCTGCTAAATTCTTCAACGAACATGGCAATATGACAATATGGCATGCATAACGATAACACCATTATCATAGTAAACGAAAATGAAATCCACCATTTTTAATCCCTTATTGACTAAGGAACCCAGCTCTTGATTTTCTTCTTGTACAATATATAGGGGTAAAACCATACTAATGGATATAAGAGAATTCTAACTACACTAATTAACTTAATTTTTTTTGTTAATTAGTAATTACCAAAGTGATAATAAGCATAGTTCATGAAACCAAATTCTATCAGCCAAACAAAAAAAATGACACCATAATAATCAGCAAACAAAAAAAATGTGGAATGGTTAGTGTGCAATTCATAAATTTCATTTTTTCTATGAGTGCAAAAAGACTAAGTTAGAATACATACTGCTCATGCTTCTTCTTTTTCCACTCTTTGAGAATCAGTTGGCTTAGATCAGTAGTTTTTACTTCGACAAATATCTCCCAACCAGGAGTAAAATAGAGACACATTTGTTTGGGATCTTATCAATAGGTAGTTCCTTCTTCATTTTTTATGGGTATTTTTGTAAATAACCTGAGAATGAAAATAAATAATTTTTAAAATTACCATAGCACACGTATATCACATTAATATAATCAAAATTGAAACTCATAATCTGACCAAAATTTAAAAAATGCACAATGAAGATTTCAAAGGAAGAAGTTAAAAAACCCAAATGAAACTAAACCTGGGAATTCATACAATTACATATTATGCTTACATGGAAATGAGTAAAATGAGTACAACCATGCAGGAAAAAGAAGTGAAACCCCACCGATCTCATACGACTGTGCTTCCATCACCATGCTTCTAGTATCCAATTAATGACAGCGTGCATGCTAAAAATTGAAGGAGATGGGGATTGAGATCATATCATTCACAAACACAAAATAAAAGAGATCGAAGAAATAGAACAACTTAGAGAAGTGAAGAAGCTTTGGCCACATAATCGGAGGAGATGGGGAGTACATATAATAATAATGTAGCTAAAATGGAAAAAATGGGAATGTATGTGGGAATTGGGAAGTTACTGCTTGGTGGTGGGACAACTTCATCGTTTTTTTTTAAACTGACCTCAACCTCTACCCTTTTTCTCCCACTTTGTTTTCTTATTATTATTATTTTTAATATAATTTTGTTAGATATTAATATCTTCTCCTAAAATGGAGGAGATACGTTCATGTTCTTTTCTTTTTTTTCCTTTTTTTCAATAAAACAAATTTTAATTTTCTGTTTAATATATCTCTCCTAAAATGGAGAGCAATTACGTTGTTTTTGTTTAATATAAATTTCTTAGATTTTTTTTTAATATAATTTTGTTAGATATTAATATTTTCTCTTAGAATGGAGGAGAAGTTATTTTGTTCCTGTTGTTTTATCTGTTTCTTTTTTTCCACAAATTTTAATTTTTCTGTTTAATATCTCTCTCTCCTAAAATGGAGAGCAGTTATTCACCTTGTTGCCTTTTTTTACTTTATTTTTTAGTATTTTTCTCCTAAAATGATGTTCAATACAGTTATCTCTGATTTTAATATTTCATCCTAAAATGGAGGAGTTATTTCATGACGTCCCTTTACTTTTATTTGCTTCTTTTTGTTTAATATAATTTTGTGAGATATTAATATCTCATCCTAAAATGGAGGAGTTATCCACCACGTCCCTTTACATTTTTTTTATTTTTTCAAATATATTTTTCTGTTCAGCATGGTTTTTTATGAGTTTATTCTCGTTTTCTGTTTTTTTCTTTCTAATTTGGTTGTGAAGGAAACATGAAAACATAAATATTAAAACTTGAAAACAGATCTAAAATATAGCAATAACCGTACTAATCAAAATGGAAGCATAAATATTCTATGTAATATTTGTTAAAATTCATGCATCAATAAATTAAGGTGAATAAAAGAGAAAAATAACTAAAAAAGAAACCCGGTAGTCTAAATTTTTTGGGTAAAGTACAAAAAATTACCTCAATTATTGGTGTCACGACACTTTCATACCTCATCTTTTAAAATTGACAATGTCATACCTCATCTTACGAATTTGTGTCAATGTTATACCTTCCGTTAGCTTGGCCGTTTATTTCTCAGTTAAATTCTGACGTGGCTTGATCTGTGACCCATTTTTATTAAAAACAAAAAAAATCATTTAATATTATTAAAATATTAAAATAATAATAATAAAGTACATAAAAAAACAAAAAAAAAAACCTCTCATTTCGTGCATCTCCCCTCTCTCTCTTCCCTATCATCTTTTGGCAACCCAGAAAAGAAGAAGGAGAAAGAAGAAGAAGAAGAGGAAAAAAAAAAAAAAAAACCCAAACCAAACCAAACCCAGTTCATCCCCCCTCCCTCCACCACAAACCCAACCCCCTGCAACCTAGAAATGACACACCCCGACCGAGATCAGGGCGTGCTGGCCGTCACGCGAAGGCGACGTAGCCATGTGCTCAGTGCGGAAGCTAATAGAATAGTAATATAAAAGTACGAATAATTAAAAACTAGCATACAACAGTTAAAAATAAAGAGTGCTAGCGTAAGTGAGACGCTAAGTTCAGAGCAATAAGTCTACAGCAGTCCAAATTAAAATGATGCGACAACAGTGCACCCGAAGGTGACCCTACATTGGTGAGTGTCTGTCAGAAGCGCCGGGAAGCCCTCTGGGAAACCACCAAACCTGCTAAGCAATTAGAACCTGGAGGGGCGCAAAACAAAAGCGTGAGTGGGCAAAAACAAAGCTCTTTGAAAACCATTTAGTAAAATACATTCTAACCCCTCGCCGTAAAACCTGTATACTTCCCAGAAAATAAACATACGTACATATAAATATATATACCAATCATGCCTCAAGATATGCCATGCCAAATCTCACAATGAAATGCAAGTGCTCAGGTGAAAAAAAATCATATTGACAACATATAATCTGGCGGCCGGAGTCACCTAACGTGACCTATACGGCTGCATATATAAACATAGAGCTCAAATCTCAAACTCAATAACTGAACCTGCCCACGAGTCGGAACCACCTAAAGTGGTCTATACGACAGGCCTGGGTGTAACATATATATACGCTCTAGTGCTACGATCACATGAAGGCTGTGCGAATAATCGCGAGTCACCTACGAGTCGGAACCACCTAATGTGGTCTGTACGACAGGACTGTGCACCTAACTTGGATCCAAGCCGAGCGTGTGGTGCGGGAGGTGAACATCACGTGAAGGACTGTGTCCTACTCTGGGCGGGAGCACTAACACCGGGGGTGCAGGTTATGAGCTCTCTAAGCATCTCAAACCACTACTGAATGCAAATATGAAATAATGCTTACCTGGCACTTACCTGTGCATCCACAGCACCCGAATATGCATATGTACATGTATGCAACTAATAATGCACGTAATGATGCATAAACAATAATAATATGGTGCATGGCATAAAACAATTAACCCTTTTTAACAATTTCTGGGAAAATATAAGTATATAGGTATATACGGAAAATCAAAAGCCCACTCACTGGTATGTGGAAGGGTCGTAACCCCCCTGCCTCGAGTGACCACGCTCGTCCTCGGGATACGTCTCACCTATATGCGAAAATACTATAAAAACGTTAATTTTAAAGCACATAACCTTCCTTTCGTAATAACTTCTCATACATTGCTCAAAATGGACAATTGAATATAACAACGTGCTCTACACAACCTCAGGATCACACCCATATTTTTAGAAAAATTTTCCACCGCCGCACGCGCCCCCACGCGCCGGCCACGCTCAGGCACGTGCCTGGCATGCTGACGGCGTCAACTAACGCCGTGAGGAATATTCCGTTAGTTCTAACGGATTCCGTCAACGGCGTCAGGAATATTCCGTCAGATTTGACGGAATATTCCGTCTCCTTCCCCGGCGAACCTCCGGTGACGTCGCCGGCGCCGGAAACTGGAAAATCTTCTAACTTCGTTTTCTCTCTCGTTTCTCAACCATTTTCCACGATTCTTGCATCAAATTGAAGCCTAGAACTAGTAGAACAACGATATAACACTTTTAAGGCCTAAAAATCACGAGATCTTACCTGTCCACACAATCCAAAACCGGCCAACTTCGAACCAGGCGATTCCGACGTCAAAACTCTTCGAACGAAGCACTCCGAGGCTCCTTGGGACCTCAACAAGTCACCTATGAGCTTCAAAATCCCAAAAACGTGCTAGATTACTTTTGCATGAATAGTACCCCAAACTGGTTTCGTGAAAACGACGTGAAAACAGTGGTTTTCTTACCTGAAAATGGCACGACTGGACTCCTCCCAGCCTCACGAGCTCGAAGGTGGTCATGTGTCCGTACGTTTTCAGAAGGAAGAGGAAGGAAAGAGGACTCGGGAGAGATAGACAAGGAAAGGGACAGGGACAGGTGCAGGTGTGGGGGTGTGTGTGTGGCCCAAAGACATGCCAACACAACACAAAAACAACCAAAATACGTAACAAAATCGAACTAGGGGCAAAACAGTCTTTTCACACGTACGTTTTCGATAATTTCGGGACGGGATGTCACAAGAAAGGAGGAGGAAAAAGAAGGAAAAAAAAAAAAAACCCCAACCTAACCCGAAGGAGGAAGAAGAAGAGGGAAGAAGAAGAAGAAGAAGAAGAAAGAAGAAGAGGAAGAAGAAGAAGGGAAACCCCCCCCAACCTGCAGAAGAAAAAAAAAAGAAAACAACAACGGGAAACCTGTCCCCCCCACCCACCCTAAACCCTAAACCCTAAACCTGTCCCCCCCACCCACCCAACCTGCAGAAGAAGAAGAAGAAGAAGAAGAAGAGGGAAGCAAAAGAAGAGAGAAGAAAAGAAAAAAAAAAAAAAAAAACAACGGGAAACCCGTCCCCCCCCCCACCCGCCCACCCAACCTGCAGAAGAAGAAGAAGAAGAG